TGATTTTACAAAAATATGTTTCCTTTTAAATACAGTGATGTGCATTGACAGGACATCAGATAAATGTCTCTCAGCATAACAACAAACCCTCATTCTTTAGGGGCATTAGGACAGATTAACTTGGACTAAATTTGTAGTTCTACAATAACATTTAATGGACCTTCCAAATAAGCAGTTTTCGTAGGCTACAACTCAAATCTAAGGTGTTTATGTTTAATAAAACGGCTCAAGCAAAAAAGACCATAAAAACAAAAAACATTTCACATCTACAGCCAAAGATTCCCTCATCCACCATGGAAAAATTCACAAAGCTGCACTGAGATCACTTTGTCTCCATGAAGTACTGTAGGAAAGCAAACAAAAACATCTACTCTGTAACACTCCAAACTGCTTTTGTCTGATGGCACAATAGTTAAAATTGTTGCCCAGTGTTCCCACAGAAACATTCAATAGTAATTCAACACTGCTATGGTTTTTTGTCAAAACACAAACCACACAAAAAATTGGTCGGCCTATTGTTATTCATTCAAAACCTCCTCAAATAAATGTTTCTTCTAAGATTTAAGGACCAATTTTTAAACTTCAACATAATTTATTTAGAATATTACAATAATAATGTATGAGTGTTTTCTTTTTAGTCAGTAACCATTATATTATATTACCTTATATAGGCTGATTCCTGCACCTTGTCTTTGTGAAAAACAATCTTTTCTTTTTTGTTCATGTAACACCTACAATAAAGATTTTTATTAGCTAAGTGCTGCTATTTTTTCCCCATTTGCATGCTATAAAATGTGCATGTCTTACATAATACACTCAAATGGAGGCCACGCTGGCTCAGTGGGTTGCTGGAGGTTATGGGATACATTCCAGGTTGCCCCCTGTCCCATGTCGATTTGCCCTTAAGCTACAGTAGGCAGTTAACTCCAAGTTTCCCACTGATCTGTGTATAAATGAGTATGCATTACTGGGTGAATTCTTCTGAATGTGGACATTTTGTCAAGTGTTGTAAAGTATGTGGTCAGTATACTGTAACTACTGTAACTTTCCTTTAATTCAGGCCCTTTATTTGCCAGCTAATGTTCTTGAGGAGTCATGATTGTGTTGGCATTAATGTATTGAAAGCTTCTTCTTAATATCTGAAAGCCTCCAGAGCTAAACCAGAATACTTTGAAATAAATGGTTTGCCGTGCATCATGTTATTAGGGCAAAATTTACAGAACATGACAGTCAGGTGCAAATTTTACACAGAATGTAGTTCTATCTCTCAAGAAACTGTACATGCCTTAAAAAATACACGACTCCACTTTGATGGTTTCAGTGTGCTTTTTGGAAAACGTCTACATGCCTTAGTTTTGGGCAGCATTATTTTACACTGCAGGGAAAACAAAGAACTTAAAATGTCTTACTGGAGGAATGTGGTTTCCATTTTCAATTTGTTACTTTTTTTGCCCTCTGGTATTAGAAAGCAAGACTACGCACTTTGGTGTGCAAGCTCAGGACCTTGCTAGGTTAGAGAGGCAAAAAATAGGAATAAAACAATAGCAATTTAAGCAAAACACCACAGCCTACAAAGTCACCCTTGACAGCTAATAACATATGCTTTGCATCTTTTGACCCATAAACTTGTAAACTATGAATCCCTTTTCACTTCTCACCAAAGGAACGATTCACCTGGAGGGTGTAAGTGCATCTCAAAAGTCAATTTGTGCCTTAGCCTGACATGTAAACATTAAAACAGTTTTGATTTTGCAGTGTAATTTTACTCCACAGCTCCTTGGTTACATCCTCATCATCACCCAGAAACCAACTGTTGATACAGTTGGATTTCATATTTTTGTAGCCATGGGGTACCACTATTTTCCCTCCTTTTTCTTTGGCCTCCTGCCCCTTACCTTCAAAGATCAGTAGGAATCTAAAGGTTCAACTATGTGCTTGTGTGCCTTGTTTTGCTGTAGGGGGTAGTATCTTTGTCTCAGAGTGTATGCAGATTTCCGGTTTGTGGGGGTTGGAGGTTTAGTCTCACATGAATTTATACTATAAAGGTTCACTACCATGTTGTGTGCATTTAAGTGAATTCTCTCAAGAAGTGAGTGATGTGCAACTTCCCACACACACGTTCTCATTGTTTTAACTTCAAATACATTTCCAGTATTCCCTGTGACCTGTAGGGGTCAGAGTTCCTTCACCTCACCTTCCCATGTGTGACTGATCAGATGTTGCTGCCTACGGACTGGACATCCTGGCACTTTGCTTAGGTATGCACTGTTTTGTAAGCTGACTAAGTGAAATATTTGTTTCGTTATGAGTTCTTGCTATGTCTCTCTCTCCACGTAAACAAAATAAAAAATTAAAAAAATTGCGTTGAAGAAACAACTTAAGACCAAATGACCTTTTTGAATTTAATGTGATCACCAGATCAGAAGAGAATTGTGACATGTGAAAGATCACTAAAACCAGATTTACACCAGATTGCACACATTATTACAGCAAATAAAATGTTCCTTAAAAAAACAACAACTATTCTATCTAACCTCAAAGGTGTAGAGGACGATCTTTTATTTCCGGGTGGATTATCAAAATATCTGGTCCTCCTAATTGCCAATCATTCTGGTGATATGTTTACGTAAGGCCGTCCTCGGTGCTCCTCCTGTTAGTGTAAGGGAAAATGTTTACACAAAGTGTATGAGAAAAAAAGAAAGGCGTGAGAAGAGGCAAATATATCCCAGGAATGCTTTGCGCGGAGAGCTCTCCTCGCAAAGCACTATGGGATTTGCTGTCACAGTGGCTCATTGTAGCTAGCCAACAGCGGTGACTAATAACAAAGATGGTGCAGGCACCACACAGTGGAGAAGGAGATAAGTGACCAACGGCAAGCAAATAGCAGTGATCATCTGTTGGAACGGTAAGTGAACTGAATTCAGTTTAAAGTGCACTATATAGTCCCATTTAGTCCCACCATTTAGGGGTTTTTAAGTTGAGAGGGTGGATCTTTTAAAGAATTGGCAAAAATCTTGCACAATTTGTTTAACTTACATCAAAAGCCATACTGTATCAAGAGTGAACATGAAAATCATTTAAATATCTCAAAAAGAAATACATACAGAAATATATAGATAAAAAAACAACATGTTTGAACATTTGAGCAGAGGATTGCACAGGCATATTATTCAAAGAGTGCACTGATGATTCATAGAGGAGGTAAGACAATAACCCAGACCAAAATCTAGAGCACTGCACTTCTCATTTGCCTCAGTTATGGTCGATGTTTGTTTCAATACTAAAAACAAAAAGAGGCTAGGCACAAATTATTTCCCTGGAAGAGGTCCAATGCTAAAAAACCCTGCTGACTTAAAAGTACATTTATACTGTACCCGTGTACGATTAACTCATTAGACATGTACGATTTTTGGGAAACAGATGACTTGTGCGTCATTGAGGGTGCACATCCCATTGAATATGGTATGTCAGTAAAATAATTTAATGTCCCCATCCATATGTGGTTAAAGTGTAATGGTGTCATAGGCGCCTTTAGTTCTGTTCTTGGATGATATGCTATAACTCATCTTTACCTAGAATCCCTTAAGAACATGGTCAAGCTAATAGTTTTGCGAAATCAGTAAGTTAACCTCTGGAGGCAATGAAAAAAACCCTTCTGGAGCACTTTACCAGAATAAAGAGATTTCAGCTAAAAGGAGTGGAGCTAAATATCTCTGCAGTTATGCAACAGGGGTAATTACTTCTTCACGTAGGCCCAGGTTAGTTCAGATAGCTTTTTTCTGTTAATAGATAAAAGTATTTTAAAATACAATATTAATTTCCTCCAATGTTATAATTTGTTTGATGTCTTTAAAAGTTAAAATATGATTAAAAAAAGAATAAAACAGGAGTCCATTATAAGGCAGGAAATTCTTTTTTTTTTAACTTGGTGCTACCTAATGACTGCACCAAGTGTTGTTTCGCACATCTTAGATTCAAAAGACTTAAATATCAAAAAGTTTGTGACTATGGCCGGAAAAAGCAAGCCAGCCAAATTATTACCTGAAGGGCTTCCAATAGAGTTTTCAGTGTAGGGGCGTGTTTCACTAAACTGACAGCATGTGGTTTCAAGTGACTGATTCCCTTGCAGGTATTATTTGCAATCTGCAGATGGCAACGTATTAATGCATGGAAGCGTGTCTGTGTACGGGCACACTTGTGTCTATAATTATGGATCCCCCAGCACTAAACGAGAAGCATTTCACTCCGGTACAGCCATCTGCTGAAGCAGACCGCTCACCATTCATCTGAGAGTAATTACTATGCAGGAACGAATGGAGTAGAAAAAGATGACATTCAGGGAAATAGAATAAAACAAAAATGAGAGAGAAGGATAAAATGATGCTTCCCCCACTGGGAATCCATATCTGCCTTTTTTTTTTCATTGAAACACAGACAGCAGCAGTTGATCAAAACAGGGACGAATCCACAGGAAGGAGGCATTGCTTCTCTTCAATAATGAACTGTTTAGCAGCTTAGAGACACATTAGCCAGGCACGTCTGGCATGTTTAGGGATTTCAATCAGCCACAAAAACAGACCTCTTCTTGGGATGAGAGATGTAAATAATTAATTATCAATATGTGATATTACTTCCTGTTAATTGCTATGTCATTACATAAATATTTTAAAAACTGCAACAAGCTTATCATTGTAACTCTAGCTTAAATATTGTCAATAACATTCAGTTATACAAACTAATTTAACATACTTGTAAATGGCTGAAATCATTGATAAAAAAAAACCAAACATCAATTCTTCAAACACAAATCCGTTTTTTTTTTTTTTTTTACTTTCCAGACTAGTAAAGCAATTTCACTCCATCAATGCTTGACACACACCATGTAGATAAAAGTATATAGATATGACATTTGATTAAGTTTGATTTTAAAGTTTGATTATGTTCATAGGTTTTTAGAAAATAGATAGAACTGAAACAGAGAAAGGAAAGTTAAAACCTACCTTTATAGGAGAGTTTTAGCCGGGGCACATTATTCTTTGCTTGCGGGGGGCTGTTGGCCTCCGTTTTGAACACAGCAAACCAACACAGAAGTATAACAGTACCCCGAAGAATCCCCATGCTCCTTGGGCAAGAACTCCTGATAAGTCCTTTAAATAAACAACCCCTGGTCAGACAGTCTTAGATCTGGTTTGACAGGAAATGGTAGCGTTGCAAGAAACAGTCCTGTTGTCCAGTAATCATGAAAAAATGCTGGTGAGTCAGTCCAGGTTGCCTCATAACAGGTCTTGCGTCCTGTCAGAGCAAAGAAAAAAAAAATGTCTTCCTTTTCCACAGGTCAAAGCCAAAATTACAGTCCTGCTAAAAACAAGAGGGATGAGGGATCCTGCAAAGCAGAGTTTGGGTAATGGACCATTATCTCTGGAACAATCCTTTCAAGAATTCTAAAAGTAAACTGTATTACACACACACAAAAAAATGTCCATTAGAGTTGATTACACAGTGAATGTGATTTAAAAAATAAAGATCTTAATATATTTAAAATATCTTTCCTTTTTGGCTCTTAGAAGAATACAGCTTAAAAAAAAAACATTTATGATATTACTCAGTCGCACCTTTAGCCAGGAAAAGTAAAACTGGTCCAAATTGTTTCAGCTGTTCATCCCATCTGCCTGGTAAATCCTTGGTGGTTGCGCTTCTTTTTGTCTCCCACCCTACTTAGCGCTCCTTTAAACAAGTTTTGTCTCACTCACTGCAGCTCAGCTCTGTCACAACACCACAAGGCACCCAGTGCAACTGAGAACAGCTGAGGCAAACAACACAGTCAGAGTATAGAGATGGTGGGAGAGAGAGAGGGGGAGAGAGATTGAGAGAGGGAGGCGGGTGGTGGTGGGGGATTGAGAAAAACTGCAAGTGTGGTGTAGGTGGGAGAAGAGTAAGAGTGAGCAAAGATGGCATAAGTGAAAGGAAAGCTGTGAGTAGTGTTAGAAAAAAGGGTGGGAGCACAAAAAAAGGGTTAAAGAAAGTGTGCAAAAGAACTAAACCAGTTCAGAGAGCACTGAGATTACTCTGTTAATACTGTTATTTGACAAATATCTGGTTGCATAATTTGCTTTACCCCTGTTCATTTGGAATTTGTGTTAATATCTTATGATTGTGCTTTTTAATCATGTAAAAATGAGTAGATTTCTGTAGCTCTATGGACTACAAAGAAAAGAGGCTATTATAGTGCATAGAGACTATTGAGTTTAGTTTTGACCGGCTCCGGATGTTCAATCATAGTGGTAAGACCCACACACCTAAAATCTTCAGGTCCAAGCCAGGTCTGACCTACATTTTAATCCTTTGATCTATATATGAAGTAAAACTGCTGCCCTCAATTCGCCTACAAAAAGATTGCTATCATGAAGAGACTATAAGCAGGTTAATAGTTAGACATTTCTAATGTCCCACTACCTGACATTCTATGTCTGAAAAAATATACTTCTTCAGTAATATACTCTAGATAAGACATATACAGACAATGGGAACTAGATTACGTAGTTATTGTAACATGTTTTCAAATTCTGGCCTTTTCTTAAAACAATAAATGGACAAAGAATATAATTGCACTTACTTTATTATACAAAAACTCATAAAAAACAACGACAAAACGACAGAAACATACGAAAAAATAATGTTTTTTTTTCTTGTAAAAACTGTCAAAATATTTTAGAAACCCACCAGTAGGACAGCAAATTGTTGAATTCCCAGTTCTTAGAGTTATTAAAAGTAAAAATGTTATAGATTTTTCAATTGGTTCTTTGAGCTACTCCATGTAAATAAGAAATGCAGATAGGTGTGCTGCTTTTTTCAGTGTGTGCTTGTATATATATATCCATATATATATATATATATATATATATATATATATATATATATGTGAAGCTCTAGCGGAAGTTCAATTGAAGAAACTCTGGCTTACCTCCATCCAATCAGAAGCTGATCCGTCTCTGACGCGAGTCATTCAGCTTCGAACTACTCCACCACGAAGCCCAATCAGCATCCTGCTTCACTTTATAAGCACCTTCAAATCCCCGTCTCAGCCCGCTATCCAGCAAACGCAATGTCAGATTTTATTCAGACGACAATTCCCCCACCTCCATCCCCTCCTCCGCCATCGTAGTTGAGTCGTCTTCCATGACATGACTTCTACCCCAACCTCATCAGAGAGTATTAATCCCAGTTGTCACCATCCCTCGTCTCATTGCAATTGGTCCGGCAGAAGACCACCATGTTGAGCCCGGTTCTGCCAGAGGTTTCTTCCCAAAGGGGAGTTTTTCCTCTCCACTGTCGCTTCATGCTTGCTCATCATGGACGTTCATGGTACCTGCATCACCAAGCAGGACCTCTACATCCTGTGTCTCCGAGTGAAGCCCCGGTGTCAGCTCCCTCAGTCTCTGGTCCCACAATTCAGCTCAAGCAGATCTCCTCGTTATCCAGCTCGAACTAAACCACCACCAGTTTCAGGCCAGGGGGAACATCCCTATTCACATTCATCTACTTATGCATGTTAAAGCATGATTCAGCATGAATGTTCCTGCCGAGGCCTGAGCGCCAAAGACTATACCTTCTTATCAATAAATTCTTCTAATTATCTTTTCTCTCTGTGTGAGTTTTTCAGATTGAAATATATATATATATATATATATATATATATATATATATATATATATATATATATATATATATATATATATATATATATATATATATATATATATATTATTTACTTACCTCTAAAGTTTCCAAAGATTAAAAGAAAAAAAAGTTAGCAGCTCCATTGAGAAAAGGATGTTTGCAATTGGTCTGTTTGTTGAAACAATATTTTACAGGGTAGCTCACATGATCTTAATCAGGAAATAGAATATTATCCTGCATAGTGGTCGGCTTTGGGGTGGATGACTATTTAAGCAGCATTTAAGCAGCATGCAGCAATATGTAAAAATTTGTGAATATCAGTCTTCATGTTTGTTGTGTGCCCCAGGTGTCAGTACTGAAACTGATACTATTGACATACCGGTATGTAAAATTTCACAAGTATTCAAGTTTGTTTTGTTTGCAGATGACACAGATATTTTCTGTAGAGATTATAACTCACAACAGCTCCTGGAGGATTACAATAGAGATGAAAAACCTAAAAAAAAATAAATACTGTTTAAAAAAAAACCCTGGAAAGAAAATGATGCTCATGTAATTTGGAAATTATAAAGGAAATATAGATGTTAAAGTCAAAACTGATTGGGTACAGGTGGAATGAATAAATGAAATTCACATTTTAGGTGTAATTATTGACTGCAAGGTCTCACATCAAAACATTTACAATAAATTATGTGAAGCATTGCAGTTCTCAGAAAAGCAACACATTCTCTACTGTTCACCAATTTGGCCATACCTGAGCTATGTAAATTTGTGAATAAATCTAGGATAACACCTACAGAACACCTCTCAAACCTCTATGTCCACTATTTATTTATTTATTCATTCACTCATTTGTTCATTCATTCATTTGTTCATTCCTGCTTCCCTAAATTCTTTGATGTGATAGAATTTCAGACTTCACAATATTTGCAGCAAGAAATACCAGACAGAAACCAAAAAGATTTTGTTCAGAGAGGGGGAGGTAATTCTCAAAATTCTTACATGTTTAAATAAAAAGAGTATTTCAATAAACTGTGTCTAAGTATGTAATAAAAATCTTCAGTGAATCAAAGTAATTTTCAAAAATGAGACTAAAAGGCTGAAAGTGGTTTTCTTAAAAAGATGTGTGTGAAAGATCAGTGGTGCACATCAATCGGTACTCTTCATCACTGTAGATGGTTGTAGACATATTTTTGCAATGCTATGGTTGTGTGAGCTATAGGTAATAATTGAATGAAGGAAGATTTATGTAGCCACATATGAATGTGTACATGCTCATATATAAATAAACTAATTAATTTGCTCACTTAATGAATTTGAGGAGTAGTATGGACTACTAAGATTGTTGATGTTACAGACAATAAGTAGGTAAAGAGGTATGATGATTAAATATGTTTTACTTTTTCATACCCCTTTTCAGACAGAAGCACAAAATTATGCATTTATCATAATAATATATAACAATAATTATACATTAGGAGACAGACAGTGTCAGTCTCCTAATTTTGTATTTCACTTAGCTAATTCCTGAAGAAATACACTGTAGTACTCTTTCGTTCAGCGTCTGCTCTGCGATAATGCAAGCGTAGAAGAAGAAATGTGCTGTTTACCTGTGCAAAGAAAGAAACGACGAAAAAGAAAAATGTCTGAGGACTTCATTGTTGAGGAAGAGCATGAGTTCTTTGCCGAGCTGAATGCGCACTTTCGTCTGGCTTGGTCTGCCGCGGTTTCCGTAGACCCCCGGAACGCGCTTTTAGGAAATCCTATACACTACTGTTTATGCTCTAAAAACATTCTAAATGACTTCGTTTCGAGTAAATTATGGACGCTACCCACTCACGACTCTTGGAATACATTGGACGAGCAGTATGGAGGAATATTGACACGTTTTTTGTGGACTTTTATGGACCTTTCTGCCTCGGGCACCATAGACCTCCATTATTTGAATGTCAGCAGACAGCAAGAAGCCTCCCAGATCTCCAGATGCATTTGAGATATCAAAAAAGTACTCCAGAGTGTTGTTCAGCATGGGGGTGAGTAGAAAATGAAGGCTAATCATGTTTTGGATGTACTATTCCTTTAAAGCATTTTTAGAAAAAGATAGAGGGATGTTTTGTTATCAGAAGAGATGTATACAAGTATTTTAATTTAACATTTTCATGCAGTTTAAAAATTATATACTAATATCAAATGCCAGAGCAGTCTTTTCCACAAAGATGGATCAGCTGGGAATTCATCAGTTACTCTGTTTCCGAAAGAGAGCCCCTATTAAACCATTACAAATGAGATGTCAGTCTCATGCTAAATAGGCAAGTCTCCATAAGCTGATTCCTTCTCGTGGTGAATGATAATGACTCTAGTAGTAATGGTATAGCGAAGACCTCTAACAGGCTGTGTCGATCTACATAAAGAGCCATCAGACAGTGGGAGGAGAGCTGAACTAATCCTGTTGAAATGGGATGGGCCTTGTGGTTATGCTAATGTCTGCTATGTGGAGCTTAGTAAAAGCAGAGAGCTGACATTTCACAAAAATTCTTGTCAGTCAGTTAGATGGTAAACTAATGTTTCTAAGAAAAAACTTTTTCATTCTTTCATTTTCTTTTGCACTTTTCTTTATGTTCTTCAATTTCTTCCATAGAAAACATTAACCCCATGTTGAAGATTAAACGTTCTTTTTTATTATAATTTACAACTTACATTTAGTTATTTTAATGCTGGTGCTTTCAATTTTACCAACCTACAGTGCATACTAGTACCACACCAAACCAAAGAAAGAAGCCCAGATCCTTGACTATGCATGGGTTTAGCAGAGCAAAAAGAAGTTGTGTACTTAAAAGAGAATACCCCTTTATGAAGGGCCAATTCAGCAATGTCTAAACTCTTTTATTCAGTAGGCAGAGAGCCGAGAGTACTCTGACCATCTCAGAGTTCATCAGCTTATGTGTGTGAGTGCACCATGAATGGACGGACTTCTTCAGCTTGTGAAGAGGTGTGGTATGTTTGCAAGTGGGGTTGATGAGGACTGTGAAGTGGGCACAACAACAGATCTATCGATACCCCTTTGAAAGCTGCATCCCCCACCTACAGAGTTCACTTAGCTCTCCACATAATCCCCCAAAACCACCTCACTTCA